ATTGCTGCCCAAGCTTCTCTGTGCCGGGGTGCTGCCAAGGACCTGTCTGTGTGTTAATTAAATGCCGTAACTTATCTATGGCTTGGAGTGTGTGTTGATATGGGACGAAGGGGGTCAGAACACCTGTCCATGCACTAAGTTTTTAAATCAAATCTTTATTCCATTCAAAGACAAGCATAAGAAGAATGGGTAAGAGCCCATTAAAAAGCATAGAAAACACATCATGGTCTAAATTATTATTATTATCATCTTCATCATTATAAACAGGTGTGTGTGTGTGTGTGTGTGTCTGTCTGTCTGTCTGTCTGTCTAAAGGAATATGAAAGGAGAGATAGGAGCATTAGATGGGGAGAAGTGTTTTGGAAATAGGATTTAGTAATGTTCAGAAAAGACAGTTCCCAAGATCGTGAACTCCATTTGCTGAAAATATATACTTTTAACAAAATTTATATTGGTCTTGAGCATCCCTTTTTAACCCCCTACATTAAACATTCATGCCTTGTGGCTTCCCAAAGATCCTGAAAATAAATCATAACCCCTTGCCAACAGCATCAGAGAGAGAGAGCCCCCCATTTTCCCAGTGAAGAACATTTTATTTATGTAGTTCTTTTTAAAACAAACAAACAAACAAACAGCTACTGCAGACAGCTCTTTCAGCAGCGGAGAGAACAAAACGGACATTGCTTTGGAATCGTTCAGTACCTCATACTGATTTATGAACATATTCAACTGCTGCACGCTGATCCGCAAGTCGGTTTCATTAAACTCGTAAGGAATGTTCCAACCCAACGGCCCAAATTTCCGTCTCTCTTGGGCCAGGGCATGAAAGAAGCAGAGGCCGTACAGGAGCTTCTTGAATTCAGCCTTTGGAAAGGGAGAGAAGAGAAAGGCTTATCTACGCCGTTCTTCTGCCGAGTGATTCTCAGTTGTGCCACGGTGGTTAATTCAGTGATTATTTTCTTTCTTATTAAGCGACCTGCTTCCCCCCAAGGAGTTCACTGCAATTAATATCAACCTTCTTTCCAGATCCGTTTTCTAGCACTGAGGCAATTTGGAACTGCTGAACTTCAACTGGAGAGCTACAGCCTTTGCTTCAAGGCAATCTTTGAAGCGCAAGCTAAACACACCCATAATTTTTAACCCAAAGGTGTCCCCAGCTCCTTCTCCGCAGTCCTGGAACACCCTCTGAACACACCTGCTGAAAACTGGGGGCATGGAACAAGCCCTAATATAAGCTAAGCGTGCCCTAGAAAGTATTAAGTTTAACACATCTAAATAGAGCCATGGTGACAGAGTGGTTAGAATGCAGTACTGCAGGCTACTTCTGCTGACTGCCGACTGCCGGCAGTTTGGCAGTTCGATTCTGACCCCCTCAAGGTTGACTCAGCCTTCCATCCATCCAAAGTTGGTAAATTGAGGACCCCGATTGTTGGAGGCAATAGGCTGACTCTGTATACCACTTAAGAGAGGGCTGTAAAGCACTGTGAAGTGGTACCTAAGTGTAAGGGCTATTGCTAATTAAAACTTCGATCCTTCAGCGGCAAATTCAGGAGAAACTTAAAAAAGAAAAAAATATGTCTCATTTCATCCATTTGCATTATCACCCGATCCAAAGGCTACACAATGACTCCAGACATTGTCCATAATTGTCTTATATGGGCAATGGGAAAGGGAGGTATAGAAAGTGCAGGGACGTGCAGTCAGGAGAGACAGGAGAGGCAGAGCTTCACCACTGTCATCATGAAAAGAAAAAAAATGTAAAAGGAAAAAGGCAAGAATTGAGGTCA